TTTTTTTTTTTTTTGTGGTTGGACTCGATGATCTCAGAGGTCCCTTCCAACCACTAAGATTCTGTGAGTAACGGTGTCTTTTCTCAAAGATGCAAATGTTTTTTGTACTTGAATAACAGAATCACAGAATCTTCATGGTTGGAAGGTACCTTTGAGATCATCGAGTCCAGCCAAAATTGAATACAAAACTATTATAGCACAAGAAATTCATATTCAGCAAAAGAGAAAACCTCCTTTGCTCTGATCTGTTGTCTACACGACTCAGAGAATGTGTTCTAGTGAGAAACCCTTCCAGAAGGTTGGGAGAAGCCAACAATTATCAACCTCATCTCACACTTGGGTATTTTGTCTGTTTTTCTCCAGGCAGAGCAAGCCCCGGAATCGTCCCTCCTTCCGGCAGACACTGATGCACCTGGATATCGCGTCCGCTGACGTGCTGGCTACTCCTCAGGAAACCTACTTCAAATCACAGGTAACCAGAGAATGGCTGTGGCCCACGAGTGCTGGAGCTGGCTCCAAGGATAAGTGTATATAAGGTGTTAGAGGGCAGTGAAGGGGCTCTTGAGACTTTCAGGGATGATCTCAAAGTATCTTTTTAGAGATTCCTCTGAGTCATACCCACTGAGCTGTTGTCTGCTGCCAAGGAGGGGATGAGGATGAAGCCTTGCCTCCAGCGTGGAGGTTCTACAGAGCGTTGGGGCGTACGTGAGGAGGTGGGGGTGTTTATTAAAGCTGTGAGAACCAGGGCTTCAAGGGGCAGATAGTATCACCCTAGTGACAGTCATCCTTGTCATGAATATACATTTCCAAATCCATAAGCCTTTCTGTTTACTTTGAATGCCAAAAGGGAAGAAAAAGGTTTCATCTTTAAGATGAAAAGAGCTTTAGGAATTTATAAAAATATTTTTTAGAAAATGCAGCGATGTTTTGTGCTCTAATTGGAAATACCATTTGAAAATGCTGAAAGTAACCATGCTGCAATATTGTTACCCAAAATAATTCAGCTAACAGAAACATGCATTCAACCCAAACCTGTAATTTTCTGCAGACACCGAGAACGTTGCCCAAGAGTTTTTCTTTGGTGCAACCGCGGATCCCAATCCTTTGTAAATACCTGAAAATAAATTGCTTCCTTAGGCTGAATGGAGAGAAGAAGTGAAGAAACATTTTGAGAAAATTAAAAGTGAAGGAACGTGCATCCACCGGCTAGATGAGGAGTTGATTCGTCGTCGAAGAGAAGAGCTGAGGTCTGTTGACAAATCTTTTATGTTTATTGCTCACTTTTCCCACCCAGCCTTCTTTTCTCCAGCTGAATGGGCTGAGCTCCCTCAGCTTCTCTTCACATGGTGTGTGCTCCAGCCCCTGGCTGTCTTCGTGCTCCTCTTGTACCGAGGACCCCAAAACAGGACTTGATATTCCTGGTGGCATAAATTCGGGCACCCTAAATTCCTTGTGAGTCCAGGAACTAAACTTCCCATGGCCTAGGCTTTGAGCACTGCTTGGCTGAGGGAGAGCTATACAGAAACTGTGGAGGTGTTTTTTTCCAGGAAAGAGGGGAAAAGTGTTTATCAGGGAATATTTCTGCCTGAGTTTTGGTGTTTGTGACAACAGCACTGAAGCAGGTACATCTGTCTCAGTGGAAAACACATCTTGCAGTTTGCTGTGAGCTTCCTCTGCCCTGATGCTCTTTGGGTTAGTTATTTCCAGAGAAGTGAACACACTGTCAGTCTGCTGAAATTCATTTTCAATGTTAGACCAACTTAAAAATGAAAGCACTTTGGGAAAGGAAAGTGTTATCTTCTGTGATAGAAATATAGTTATGCCAGAGAAACATAAACCAGCGAGTAGCAATTCTGTGTGGAACCTGAGAAACCAAAGGGAACCTTGTTCAGCCAGTTTGGTGTAGCTGTTGGTCAGTGTTCCCTAGCCCCAGGGAGCTTCTGGTGGTCACATCTTTCAGCTGTGGTTCATGATGTCTTCTGTAAATATACCGTAGCTATAGGGGCATGTTGCTTTTTATGAAATACAGACAGATGACTTCTTCCTCTGCTTCTTTAGGAGCTGATTTTAGCCCCTTTTCTGTGCAAACAGGATGAGCAGGGCTTGTGGCTGCGTGTGAGGCATTCCCAGCTTCTCTAGTGAGAAAAGTTGCCCCTCTTTCAAGACAGTTAAACACTTTCTAAATCATATCATGATTCACTGCTGTATCAAGCTCTTAATCACCATGCACTGTTAGCTCTCTCTGGGGTCACGTGCAACGCAGCTGGCTAAGTTAACTTTTAGAAGGCTTTTTCCTAAAGCACCTTCCCTTATTCTCCTCTCTTGGTCCGTGGACACTGGATTGTGGAATAATAATGATTTTTCTGGTTTTTAGGCACGCGCTGGATATCCGTGAGCACTATGAGAGGAAGCCCCTGTTGTACTGAGCATTGTCTATGCATATAGTGAGAGACATGTCCTACACCAAGGTCTTAGGAGGGAGCTATTTTGGGAGCAGAACATCAAAACAGGAGCGGAAAAAGAAGAGTGTGTGGCAGATATTGGAAAAAGCGGCGAGAGAGGAGCGTAGAGCGTGATGGGCTGAGCGGAAAGGACATTGAGTGGAGACAATCAAAGGGAACCAAATGCAGAAGTCAAACAGCTGAAGGGGAGGGAAGTCTGTAGATTTTGGAAAGCAGAGTGTGCTTATGGCTACAGCTGCCTCTTCATCCTGGCTCGGAGCCGCTGTCGCTTCTTACTTGGTGATTTAACGCGCAACTTGTGTCTCTCAGGCCAGATCTCCTGAAGTCAGAGGGCATCCCCAGCACAGAAGCAGCATCCAACGGCTCACCAGTCTCAGGAAGTCCCAAGATGTCCACGCTGAGCGGCAAAAGCCGCTACCGCAGTAAGCCCCGCCACCGCCGAGGGAACAGCAAAGGCAGCTACAACGATTTTGCAGGGATCTTGAAAAACCAGCCAGCGCAAGATGATGCAACCCCCCTTCCTCCTCCTCCTCCTCCTCCTCCTAGTCATCCTCATCACCCCGGCCTCCCGCAGCAGCCTGGCCACAGCCACCCCCACCACGGCCACCACTCCCGCCTTCACGCCCACGGGCAAGACATCGCCAACTGCGCCAACAACTTACGGTACTTTGGGCCGGCGGCGGCGCTGCGCAGCCCTCTCAGCAACCACGCGCAGAGGAGGATGTCCGGCTCCAGCCCCGACCTCATCTCCACCGCCATGGAAGCCGATTGCAGGAGGAACCTGGAGAGCCAAGAGAGCCAAGGCGAGCACTGGGAGTGCTGCCAGACGGATCCCTACGGCTCCTGCGCTCAGTGCAGGGAGGAGGACAGTGCTCAGGTGCAGATGGCAGCGGGCGAAACGGGGGCGAGCCGTTCGCAGTCGCCGGCGTCCGCTTCCCTCTACGAAAACGCCCAGTTCATGGAGAAGATGGAGGAAGAGGCCTTCAGCAACTCCAAGGCGGCGTCCGCCCTCGGCACTCCCCAGCACATGGCTTCCTCCGTGCTGCCTTGCAAAGCCAGACCCCTTCAAAAGGTAAGGATGAAGCAAAAAAAACAACCCCCAAAGCTCGCTCCTCTTTGCCCTCTCCAGCAAAAGGAGGTGTGTAGCTGGTGTGTGGGTAAGGGCCACAGGACGAGAGGAAATGGCCTCAAGTTACGCCAGGGGAGGTTCAGGCTGGATATTAGGAAAATTTTTTTCACTGAAAGGGTTCTCAGCCATTGGAATGGGCTGCCCAGGGAGGTGGTTGAGGCCCCATCCCTGGAGGTGTTCAAAAGACGGGTTGATGAAGTGCTGGGAGGTCTGGTTTAGTGATGGTGGTGCTTTTTGTTTGTTGTGTGGGTGTCTATTTTTGTCAGTCAGGTTGACGGTTGGACAAGATGATCTTTGAGGTCCCTTCCAACCTAGAAGATTCTGTGAAATGGCCTCAAGTTGCGCCAGGGGAGGTTCAGGCTGGATATTAGGAAAATTTTTTTCACTGAAAGGGTTCTCAGCCATTGGAATGGGCTGCCCAGGGAGGTGGTTGAGGCCCCATCCCTGGAGGTGTTCAAAAGACAGGTTGATGTAGTGCTGGGAGGTATGGTTTAGTGATGGTGTTGCTGTGCAGGTGTCTATTTTTGTCAAATTAGGTTGACAGTTGGACAAGATGATCTTTAAGGCCCCTTCCAACCTAGAAGATTCTGTGATTCTGAGCAAAGCCATGTTTCCCACTCACATAGCAGTAGAGCTACGTGTACAACTTGATGTTAAAGAAATCATGGCTGTCTGAACTTTGCTTTGTGATCTGGAAGTACTTTTGAAGTCGATTTCATTGAGAAGCCCCGTAGGCACGTCAGAGTGCGCTGCTAATAACGAGGGTTGGCAAATGAGGTTTTGGTAGGGTCTAGTTCTCTGTTATTTGCAGTTTAGCCAGCTTTTGTTTGAGCTGAGACCTGTTCTGCTGAATTCCTGTTGTTGAAACAATCTCAATGTTTCCAGACCCTTCTCAAAACAAAGGAAGGGGTAAACGCGTTCTTGTGGTGATGTTGAATGTCAGGTATCAGTTTCACTGAGAATCACAGGATGGTCAGAGCTGGAAGGGACCTCTGGAGATCATCTAGTCCAACCCTCTGCCAGAGCAGGGCCACCCAGAGCAGGTTGCACAGGAACGTGTCCAGGTGGGCTTTGAATGTCTCCAGAGGAGACTCCACCACCTCCTTGGGCAGCCTCTTCCAGACAGAGTGTGAACCAGGTGCTGTCAGTTTAGATAGGATGGGAGGAGGCTGTCAACAGGACACGAGGGGGTAGATTTGGGTAGGAAAAGGAGAATAAAAGGTTCCATGCTCACTGAAGTAGATAATGGAGCAAAACTAGTGTTTTCTAGTTGGTGAAACCCACCAGCAAAGGCCGTGTCGTCCCCCATCCTGCTTGATGATGGGCTTGTATGGAAAAGGGTTGAAGTCATAGAGCCAAGAGTGCCAGATCAACTCAATAATTAATGAGGGTCTAGTTCTCTGTTATTTGCAGCTTAGCCAGCTTTTGTTTGAGCTGAGACCTGTTCTGCTGAATTCCTGCTGTTGGAACAGTCTCAATGTTTCCAGACCTTTCTCAAAACAAAGGAAGTGGTAAACGCGTTCTTGTGGTGATGTTGAATATCAGGTATCAATTTCACTGAGAATCACAGAAAGGCCCAGGGAGGTGGTTGAGGCCCCATCCCTGGAGGTGTTCAAAAGACAGGTTGATGTAGTGCTGGGAGGTATGGTTTAGTGATGGTGTTGCTGTGCAGGTGTCTATTTTTGTCAAATTAGGTTGACAGTTGGACAAGATGATCTTTAAGGCCCCTTCCAACCTAGAAGATTCTGTGATTCTGAGCAAAGCCATGTTTCCCACTCACATAGCAGTAGAGCTACGTGTACAACTTGATGTTAAAGAAATCATGGCTGTCTGAACTTTGCTTTGTGATCTGGAAGTACTTTTGAAGTCGATTTCATTGAGAAGCCCCGTAGGCACGTCAGAGTGCGCTGCTAATAACGAGGGTTGGCAAATGAGGTTTTGGTAGGGTCTAGTTCTCTGTTATTTGCAGTTTAGCCAGCTTTTGTTTGAGCTGAGACCTGTTCTGCTGAATTCCTGTTGTTGAAACAATCTCAATGTTTCCAGACCCTTCTCAAAACAAAGGAAGGGGTAAACGCGTTCTTGTGGTGATGTTGAATGTCAGGTATCAGTTTCACTGAGAATCACAGGATGGTCAGAGCTGGAAGGGACCTCTGGAGATCATCTAGTCCAACCCTCTGCCAGAGCAGGGCCACCCAGAGCAGGTTGCACAGGAACGTGTCCAGGTGGGCTTTGAATGTCTCCAGAGGAGACTCCACCACCTCCTTGGGCAGCCTCTTCCAGACAGAGTGTGAACCAGGTGCTGTCAGTTTAGATAGGATGGGAGGAGGCTGTCAACAGGACACGAGGGGGTAGATTTGGGTAGGAAAAGGAGAATAAAAGGTTCTTTGCTCACTGAAGTAGATAATGGAACAAAACTCGGGTTTTCTAGTTGGTGAAGCAACTAGTTTTCTAGTTGGTGAAGTTGGTTGGTTGACCAGCAAAGGCCGTGTCATTCCCCATCCTGCTTGATGATGGGCTCGTATGGAAAAGGGTTGAAGTCGTAGAGCCAAGAGTGCCAGATCAACTCAATAATTTATGTGGATTTCAGTGTGGTACTAATTACTTGATTTGCTTCTGTAAAAATCTGGAACGTTATGTACTCGGTGCCTGCTGAAGTACTGCAGGGTGTTTCAAAGTCAATCACTTCCTATTCAGAAACGGCAGCAGTAAGGCTGCCTGCAAAAAAATCTCCTGGTAGGAAGATATTTGAGTCAGTTTTCACTGATAAGCAGGTTATTTTCTTGACTTTGTCCCGGAGGGCCAAGGGGCAACCACGTCGTTGGGTGTTTGTTCTTTCGCAAACGTGATGCCGTTGTTGTCCTTGTGTTTTGCCAGAGCGGTGACGACTCCTCGGAAGAGGAAGAGGGCGAAGTAGACAGTGAAGTGGAGTTTCCTCGTAGACAAAGGTAAAAGGTGAATTCACTCTAATCTCTCTTTGGTGGGACACAACTCAGGAGGAGAGGTGTCTTGGCAGCTGCACGCCAGCAGAGAAACTGTGGAAGGTCCTGGCAAAGGACCCAGATCCCATTCAGTGCGTCCCATCCAGTTGTTCACTCACAGTTTTCAACCTGTTTTGAGGTCTTTTTTCCAGCACAGCTTTTTCTGCTGCGGGTTGTTTGTAGCACAACTTGACCACACTTGATAAAATAATATGGAAAAAAAATATGTTGCTGCATCTATTTTACCAGAATCAGACTGTTGGGACCCTCGGTGGACCCTTTCAGATGTTATTTATTAACTGTTGCTGCAGCGGGGCTGACTCCAGCATCCCCATGGTGGAACTCAAGTAGGATTGAAGAGCCAGGTGATAATACAGCACATCAAATTTCATGGTGTCACCTGTAAAATAAGACTGAGGGGGTGTTCCTGCCTAAGCCTGTGTAATATAAAGTCCTCTGGAAAGAGATCATGGGATTGGGGCCGCAGCTTTCTGAAAGCAGCTGCTTGATGTGCAGAAGTGATCCCTGGGCAAATGGGTTAAGGATTGTTAGGAGAGGAGCAGAGAAGAAAAGAAAAGCTTCTCTGCCCTTATATACATCCACTGCACACCTGCAGCTTGAATCCTAAATTCCACCTTCGTTGCCCCAGCTCAAAGACCGTGGTGGAGTTGGAGAGGTGTGACAGGAACGGTTAGAGATGGCTTCCGTAGAAGAAGGGATTAAATCCCTGAGAAATCTTTGTCTAGCAGGAGGAGAAGCCATCCCAGAGGTGCATGAAATTGTGAGTTATGTGGAGAAAACGCCAAAAGAATGATTACTCACATTCATGTTAGGGACGCCCCGTGAAGCAGACAGGGTTTGAAATGAACAAAAGGAAGTGCTTTTTCCATCCGAAACGTTTTCAGGTGGTGGAGCTCATTGTCAAGGGGTGCTCTGGAAAGCAAAACATAAACAAGTCCTAAGTGTTAAGCTCCAACAGGGGAGGTTTAGACTGAACATTAGGAAGGAATTTTTCACAGAAAGAGTGGTCGGGCATTGGAACAGGCTGCCCAGGGAGGGGGTGGAGTCACCATCCCTGGCTGTGTTTAAGGGCCGTTTAGATGCAGTGCTGAGGGACATGGTGTAGGGGAGGACTTTGTAGAGTAGGGTAGATGGTTGGACTCGATGATCCCAAGGGTCTCTTCCAACCTGAATGAGAGTCTATGATTCTATGATTTAGGGTGTATAGATCCATTGGGGGCTGTTAAGTCACCCAGGCTGGATCTTCAGCTCAGAATTCTGATCTGCTGAATGGTGCAAACCAGAAAGATACCCCAGGAGAAAGCAGGCTCTGTCTGCACACCCTGTTCTCATCCTTCTCCCAGATTCTTCCTGCCTGGGGTCGGAGGCAGAATGTTGGGCTACAGATGAGTTTTCTGCCTCCTACGGTTCTTGTGTGGTTGTTGCTGCTTCTGTGATTTACTGACTTGCATTGCCTTTCCTGAATTCACTGTGAGGACCTGGGGTGGGTCTCCTGGCACGTTCAGTCAACTGGTATTTTGTGCCATTACTGCTGAATCCTGGCATGAGGCAATTTCCACATTCAAGGGACTGTGAACTTATTTTTTGAGCGCTCATACCTACGTTCTAGCCTGGCTGTTGGCACCACTGCTGGATGGTGCAGATACCCCCAGCTGAATTAGCTTGAACCCTACAGTACAGCCTTTCTTCAGGATAAAGAAAAACATGCTCCAGGGCAGATCAGCTACTAAGAATGTGTAGCAGACAAGGCCAAATAAGACCAGCTGCAGCTCTTGAACTAAATCATTCCAAAGGTGGTAGATTTCCATGGCTCCGGGATGCGAAAGGCGGCCCAACGCTTTGCAGAGCTCTTGCTGCCAGCCTTGCAGATCAGTTATGACTCAGCTGGAGATGTGTTCTTAAGGTGTGAAGAGGCTCTTGGGGAGCTGACGTAAAGCCTTTTCCAGGGCTAGGAGCTGTTCTGCTCAAAGGCATGTTTGGAAGGATCAGGACTGTAGCCCAAAGCGCAGAAATAACCCGTATTGTGTGTGCTGGGCCTGAGCAGTGTCTGCTGGGGAGAACCATAGAATGGTTAGAGTTGGAAGGGACCTTAAAGATCATCTAGTCCCTGGGCAGGGACACCTCCCACCAGACCAGGTTGCTCCAAGCCCCCTCCAACCTGGCCTTGAACCCCTCCAGGGATGGGGCAGCCACAGCTTCTCTGGGCAACCTGGGCCAGGCTCTCACCACCCTCACAGCAAAGAATTTCTTTCTGGTATCTCATCTCAATCTCCCCTCTTCCAATTTAAAACCATTCCCCCTTGTCCTGTCACTGCACTCCCTGACAAAGAGTCCCTCCCCAGCTCTCTTGTAGCTCCTTCAGGCACTGAAGGGGGCTGAACAACCCCAGCTCTCTGTCTGTCTTCACAGCAGAGGTGCTCCAGCCCTCTGATCATCTTCATGGCCCTTTGCTGGACCCGTTCAACAGGTCCATGTCCTTCCTGTGCTGAGGACTCCAGAGCTGGACACAGAGCTCCAGGGGGTCTCACCAGAGCAGAGCAGAGGGGACAGAATCCCCTCCCTCACCCTGCTGGCCACACTTCTCTTGATGCAGCCCAGGACGTGGTTGGCTCTCTGGGCTGCCAGCACACGCTGCCAGCTCCTGTGGACCTTCTTGTCCATGAGCACTCCCAAGTCCTTCTCCTCAGGGCTGCTCTCCAGCCATTCCCCACCCAACTTGGATTTGTGCTTGGGATTGCCATGTCCCGGGTGCAGGACCCTGCACTTGGCTTGGTTGAACTTCATGAGGTTTACACAGTCCCAAGTCTCCAGCCTATTCAGGTCCACCTGGATGGCATCCCATCCCTCCAGTGTGTCAACACACAGCTTGCTGTCATAGGCAAACTTGCTGAGGGTGCGCTCCATCCCACCACCCATGTCTCCAACAAAGAAGTGGGGCTGAATGGGGCCTGGGCTGCCTCTAACAGTGGGCGAGCCCTTTTTGTGGTGGGCTGGAGATACCAGTTAAAAGTACAGGTCCCAAAAGGGGTGGTAGATACCCCAAAGCAAGCTGCCTTGCTGGCTGTCAGAAACAGAGTTCCTTGTGCTGGAAGCTGCTGCTCACCAGCTCCTTCGTACTCTGTGCAGCGAGAGCACCAGCAGAAACCTGCCCACGGAGAAGCTGTGATTTTTCTAGCCTTCCCCCATCTGGTTTTCTCCTGGGGATGGGCTCACCCAGGGTTGAGTGGGCACCAGGAGTCGAGGGCAGCACCCAGGGAGTTGCTTTTCCTCCAGGAGCAGAGGTGTCATGCTCCAACCTGACCTGCTCTCCTGCTTTGCAGACCTCACCGCTGCATCAGTAGCTGCCAGTCCTACTCCACCTTCAGCTCCGAGAACTTCTCCGTCTCAGATGGAGAAGAAGGGAACACAAGCGACCATTCGAACAGCCCAGATGAGCTGGCCACCAAGCTAGAAGACGAGCTGGCCGAGAAGCTGGAGGACATGTTGTCCCAGACCCCAGAGATCCCCATCGAGATCTCCACCCAGTCTGATGGCCTTTCCGACAAGGAGTGCGCCGTGAGGAGGGTCAAGACTCAGATGTCTCTGGGCAAACTTTGCGCCGACGAACACAGCGGTGAGGTGAGTTGTAATCCCCTCCTCTTCAGCAATCTTCCTCAGCAATCCCCTCTTCTTTTGAGGTAAAACAAAACGAAAATGTTACAGGAAGGGAGTCCAAGGGCCAAAAAGTTGGCTGACTGCTGAGGAAACGCTGTGGTAGATACCTGGTCTGTGGGCAGATGGGGGGAAAGTAGCGCGAAGCTGAACGTAATTTGCAGGTCAAGATAACTGGGATGAGCGCGAAGCTGAACGTAATTTGCAGGTCAACTGGGATATTGGGAGCTCATTGGGTTTGCAGTTGCATTAAGTGGGATAAAAAATAGCACATAAAGTAGATAATGAAACGGAAGGGATATCAACTGCCTCAAACTGCTCCACTGGCAGCCCTGCTGATGAAACAGGTCAACTGGGATATTGGGAGCTCATTGGGTTTGCAGTTGCATTAAGTGGGATAAAAAATAGCACGTAAAGTAGATAATGAAACGGAAGGGATATCAACTGCCTCAAACTCCTCCACTGGCAGCCCTGCTGATGAAGCAAGAATGAGTTTCTTCCTTCCACCATCTCCCAGGGGTTTGGGAGGGGTAGGGCAGAGCCTCCTGCACCACCTTCCCATCGCTCCATGTTCGGTGCTGCTCCCACCAGACATTCTTCTGCTGTCCCCTGGGTGAGGGGAGACAAGGGACCTTTGGTGGGGTGCTTGTGTGGTGTCTCCCCGTTCGCCCCCAGGTCTCTCCTCCTTTCCTGTTATGGATCATCCACGGGAATGATGCTCAGGTCTTCCCCTCTCCTTTTGCCTTGCAGACCCCGGCGCAGTTTGGAGAATCAGACTGTGACTCTTCTGAAGGGGAGTGTTCTGATGCCACGGTCAGGACCAATAAGCCCTGCAGCTCTGCTACTTGGTAATACAGATCTCCCCCTCCCCTCCCCCCCCCAAAAAAAGCTTCCCGAGACCGGCATTTTGATTTCCCTGAGATTCCACTTCATTCCCCTTCATCACACTTTCCAGGAAGAGAAGATGCTTCTCCTCCCCACCCCAGGAGTGATTTGCAATAACCCCAATCTCTGGAAAACGTCCAAATGAAATTAATTCTCTTTGAGCATTTCAATCAAGAATGGCAGGGATGTATTTTATTGAATAATCTAGTTACTGTAACATGGATATTTATTTTTTTGACATTTTAACACTTTTTACTGTAAAGAGTGGATTGTATTTATAGACATACAGACTCGTTGCAAAAAAAAAACAAAACCACAAAACAAAACAAAAAAAAAACCAAGTTCAGAAAGCAAGCACATTACAGAGGAACATCCTGGGAGTCCTGCCTGGACAGCTTTGTGTACAAAGGCAGGGGGATTCTCTTGCTGCTTTCACAGGGGACCAGGCCTCGTGGCCCTGAAGATTGGAGAAACAGATCAAGACAACGAAACCACTCAGTCTTATCAGCTGAGGAAGCATAAAAAGACCTTCCTGTAGGGTAACCTGTGAACAAAGCGTATTCTATTCAGTATAAACCAGCTGGGTCCTTTTTAATCAGAAGGTGGACACGTTCCTGGAGAAAATTGGTACCAAGGTGCTAACGTCCAGGGTCTTCTGAGTTGATACATCCCCAGGAATGTAACAGTGGGGTTTATTTTAAGGATTTTTAGTTTCTTTTTTTTTTTTTCCTTTTTTTTAAAAAAAAATCAGCGTTTTGTGGTGAGATCCTGCAAATGTATTCTAACCTCGTCCTCTCGAGAATTGGTAAAAGAGCACTTCTTAACATGGCCCATCTCCAGCTGAGCAGGGAAACCTCGGTGAGAGGCAGCGTGCCATTTCCCAGTTTACTTCCTCCTCTTACCTCCTCTCTGTTTCCTGTCGGTCAAAGAAATCAATCAAATCAGTGTTGGAAAAGCAAAGGACTCGAGAACCTCGGAAAGCACGTTCTGCAGAGCCCAGAGCTCTCTGCTGGGGAGGGAGCTGGAGGTGCCCCTGCTGGACCTGGAGCAGCAACAACGAGGAGAACGAGGGGGGAGACTGGGAATTCCTGGCCTGGATGTAAGAGCATCAGCCCTGCTCTGTCTCCTGATTCACTCTACGCTCTGGAAAGTGTAACCAGCTCCCTGCCCTTCGTGTCAGGCTTTTGTGCAAAGCAGGTCACCCTGGGGGGATCTTGGTGGTGGCCGTGGCACAGCTGGGTCTTTGGGGGACACCCCGGGGGGGACCTCTCTTTCTCCTTCAAGCTGAAACTCTGCAGGTGCAAGCGAGGATGCTACTCGTGTGTGACAGGCCGAGGCATTGGCAGATGAGAAAAAAAAAATAATGTGTTTTCTTGATAGAACTCATAGTGCCTTCCCTTCAAACACTACTCTTCTAAATCACTATTTAAAGAGAACAAAACGATAGAGCACGTTCCCCGTTCTCCCCCCCCTCCTCATCCCCCCCTTCCTCTTTTTTTTCCCCCCTCCCTTTAGTTGAAGAGCTTTCCCCCTGCCCGTCCCGGCGCGCTGGGTGCCCCTCTGCCCCCTGGCACAGCAGCCCCGGGGGAAGGGCAGGACCGGGCCATGGGCAGGTACTTCTGTTGCTTTGTTTTGTTTACATTTTATGTTAAAATATCGGTTTGGATTTAACTGTGGTAATTTATAGCCTCCTGGCGAAACGAAGGAAAATGTCTTACTTATAAAGAGAGCAGTATTGTATGAGTTAAATTATCCCATATTTTTAAAATTTTTGTAGCTGGACTACACAGAAACCTTAAGTTATGATGTTATTTTATTATTTATTATCGTTTTTCTGTAGATCAGAAGGTTGGCTTCACCGCTAGCACAATTTGTAATCTGTTTGTGTGTGACGTTACCTTCTCCCCGCTCGCCCCGGGGCCGGGGTTTTGGGAGGGGGGGGACACATGGGAGATGCTGGTCTCGGGGGCTGTCAGCAGTGGCTGCCTCTGTCCAGGCTGGTCCCAGAGGGATGGATGCTGTTCCCTCCCCTTCCCAGTGGAGTTGGCAGCCCCTGGGCTGGTGGGAAGGGGTGACCCAGGAGCTGAGTTGGCTCCAGAATGGATGGCAAAGGGAATAACCCCCACCAGATCCCATGGCAGGAGCATCCCAAAGGAGAAGTGGGGAGGGGGTAGGAGATCAGGGGTGGCCAGCGGTGGGTCCAGGTGGTGGGTCCACCCCTGCAGGACCAAACAGGCTGCTGGGGGGGGGAGTGAGGGGCTCCCCCCTGCCTGCAGCGGCGATGCTCAGCTCTGGGGGGAGGCAGAATGCCCTGGGTGGGGGGAGTGAAGCTCTTTCCTGGCTTGTTTCTTGTTGCCTCTCTCTTCCCAACCCTCATTTGTCCTCCCAGATGTTCTCTGTCTCTTGGCCGGTGGCAGGGCTGGAGATGGCTTTGCTGGTGTGGTTTTGGTGTGGGTTTTGGTGTGGAAGAGGCGGTGCAGATGGTTACTCAGGAGGCCAGAGCGCAGGAATTTGGTGGTGGAGAACTGTGTGCACGTAAGATACGCACACAAAGAGGGAGACTAAACTAAAGAGAGGTTGAGAACTGCCATCCAGCGTCCCCCCCCAGCAGAGGATGCACCCCTGGAGAGATCTGGCCATCTTCCTGAGCTCCTAGGGCTGTTTGCTGCCCGTGGGCAGTGCCACCTCCACCCCTTCCATGGCCCCGGGACAACACTGGTGTCCTGGGCAGCCCTACAGCAACCAGCCCTCGGAGTCTCCCCAGCAAAAAGATCCCGGGGGGGTTTTGGTAACTGTGGTCAGTGCTTAGAGCTCCTCCACCACCCCATGGAGCTCCTCTGGGCTCACAGAGAAGTGTAGAAGCTTTGACGTGTGGGATTTTGGGACCCCCTCCCGTTTGACAGCCTGGGAGAGCAGAGCTGAATCCTTCAGGCTGGGCCCTGCCACGCTTAGCTCTGCTTTCCTCACACTTCAAGAGTCCAGCATCGCTCCTCCCGACCCCACAGCACCCCTTTGGGACAGTTAGGGCTCCCCTCTTGACTAGTGTCACCCTGTCCCCGTGGAGATGTTTGGTGGTGGAGAACTGTGTGCACGTAAGATACGCACACAAAGAGGGAGACTAAACTAAAGAGAGGTTGAGAACTGCCATCCAGCGTCCCCCCCCAGCAGAGGATGCACCCCTGGAGAGATCTGGCCATCTTCCTGAGCTCCCAGGGCTGTTTGCTGCCCGTGGGCAGTGCCACCTCCACCCTTTCCATGGCCCCGGGACCACGCTGGTGTCCTGGGGCAGCCCTACAGCAACCAGCCCTTGGAGTCTCCCCAGCAAAAAGATCCTGGAGGGGTTTTTGGTAACTGTGGTCAGTGCTTAGAGCTCCTCCACCACCCCATGGAGCTCCTCTGGGCTCACAGAGAAGTGTAGAAGCTTTGACGTGTGGGATTTTGGGACCCCCTCCCGTTTGACAGCCTGGGAGAGCAGAGCTGAATCCTTCAGGCTGGGCCCTGCCACGCTTAGCTCTGCTTTCCTCACACTTCAAGAGTCCAGCATCGCTCCTCCCGACCCCACAGCACCCCTTTGGGACAGTTAGGGCTCCCCTCTTGACTGGTGTCACCCCGTCCCCGTGGAGACGTTCTCCCTGACCTCCCCCTGCCCACACATTGCTCCTGCCCACAGCGGTGGTCGGGTGCCCCTGGGTTCTGCAGGAGGTGACACACAGGGATTTTCCGCAGCGAAACCCCCCTGGGATGGCAGGGAGAGGGGACCCCCATGTCCCTCTCCGTGCCCCTCTGCTGTGCCGGGGCTGGGAGGCTCGATGGGGCTTCCTCCTCCCTCCCCGCCCTCCCGGGATGGAAATAATCCCTGGAAGTTCCCTTTCCAGCATCCCCCACTGCCCCCACGGCCCGTGGCTGCTGCCAGCTCCTGACCACTAGCCTAGATCTTCTCCCAGAGCTGAATGTTGCCTTCCCCGCCGTCGTGTTGAGTACCCATTTCATCTTGGCCCTGTCCAGTAGTGTCCATCTCTCTCCTCCTCCTCCTCCCTGCTCTTGCAGATTCCTGATACAAACTTGATGATGATTTTTTTTTTTTTTTTTTTTTTTTTAAGTGTTCAATAGAAAGCAGTGTGATGTATTAATGTCCTCTCCCTGTGCTCAGTGTCCTGGGAGGTGACATGGGCAATGTGACATTCCGGACCACAGTCGTTAAAACACGCTGTCTGGTATGTTGCCTGACACAGCAAGCTTTTTTTGGTGAAACAAGACCTATAAGCAAGCTTGCTAGACATGATTTCCAATTTAATTAGTTTTTTTTTTTTTTTTTTTTTTTTGTATTGAACAGTGTACAGTGATGGAAACAAGAATGACTATCAAAGCAAACAATGCATGGAATAAAAAGCCAGTGTACTTCAACCCCTTCTCGGGCTGGTCTGGTGATCTGGGAGTGGTTTCTCCTGTACTTTGGGATAATGTCACAACACCTTCTAATAACTAACATGATGGTAGCGAGCGGCTGCTGGTACCTGTCTCTGAAAACTGGGAGCTCCAAGGAGCAGGGCAGAGGTTTGGTGGGACACACAAAACCCACCAAGCACCCTGGTGTCTCCAAACGTTGGCTTTTCCTCTGGTCAAACGAGTGATATTTTGCTCCAGCACCGACCTCTCGTGCTGGGACCCTTGCTGTGCCGCTCGGGTCCGACCCTGCTGCTGGGGAAGGTGCCACCACGGAGGAAGCATTCACTCTGTCAGCTTCCTGAGGGCTCCAGGGTCTCCCATCTGCCCCCTTCCACCCCAGAAAGTTTACTTTGTCCTCCGAGTGGAGGGGAAACTCATGGAGAGCAGAGCAAGGAGGTGGAAATAGCAAAAACCCAGGAGCATAGTCACCCCTGGAGCTATTGTTCTTCAGCAGATATATAGGTTTGAAGGTGCTTCTCAAGGACAAACCGCTGCTGGCCAGGCACAGCCACTCCTTCTCCCCCATTTTAGTCCTTGTGGGGAGACCTCAAAAGCAACCTTGTGTTCTGACACAGGAATAATATATCCAGGCAGCTCAAAATTCTGAACAATTTCGCTGCAGGGTGCACTTCTTTAACACCTGAATGACAGAGGAAGAGTTTTCTACAACCCTAAAACTTCATTACTTTTTCTCAACTCGCCACTTATGCTCCACGAGTGATATTTTGCTCCAGCACCGACCTCTCGTGCTGGGACCCTTGCTGTGCCGCTCGGGTCCGACCCTGCTGCTGGGGAAGGTGCCACCACGGAGGAAGCATTCACTCTGTCAGCTTCCTGAGGGCTCCAGGGTCTCCCATCTGTCCCCTTCCACCCCAGAAAGTTTACTTTATCCCCCAAGCTGAGGGGAAACTCACGGAGAACAGAGCAAGGAGGTGGAAATACCAAAAACCCAGGAGTATAGTCACCTCTGGAGCTATTGTTCTCCAGCAAATATGTAGGTTTGAAGGTGCTTCTCAAGGACAAACCGCTGCTGGCCAGGCACAGCCACTCCTTCTCCCCCATTTTAGTCCTTGTGGGGAGACCTCAAAAGCAACCTTGTGTTCTGACACAGGAATAATATATCCAGGCAGCTCAAAATTCTGAACAATTTCGCTGCAGGGTGCACTTCTTTAACACCTGAATGACAGAGGAAGAGTTTTCTACAACCCTAAAACTTCATTACTTTTTCTCAACTTGCCACTTATGCTCCTGCCCCAGAACACAAGTGCACAGTTTGTCATTTTAGGCCAAAAAGGCTAAATAAGTATGGATTTGGAGAGGGCAGGAAGGAGGGGGGCCTGCCTAGAGCTGGGAAATGCTGTTCCTACAGCAGTGTGAGGGGAAAAACCAGCTGCTCCTGCAGCTCAAGGCAGCCCCTTGTGCTGGGGACAAGGTGATGAGGGTGGGCAGAGATGGAGCCTGTCTCACTCTTGGAGCAGGCAGAAGCTGGGCTGGGTGGGAAGTTTGGGAGCCCACAGGAAGCCTGTGACCACGGGGAACACAGCCTTTAACCCCCATGTTCAAGAGCTGGGCAGGATTAAGCAGTTCTGATTTGCCTTCCTCACAGAACACTAATATTCTAGGGGTTTTTTTCCCCCCATTGCAACACGCACCGGAGACAGAAGCTGATTCAAAGGAAACGGGCACGTTCACTTCCAGGTGTTGGCAGAGCCCCTGTAGAGAGCTCCCCGCGCAGACACACGCACAGTTATACATTCATTAAAAATAAAAAACCTTACACCTCCTCTTAGGCGAGAAGAACGATTAAAAACTGCAAATTGTCCTTGGTCCATGGTGGCACAGAGCATGCAGAAGGCATCCCGCAGCTTCGGCGGGGCCGTCCCCCAACCTCTGGGGGACCTGAGCCATCACAAACTCTTTTTGCCATTGAGCAGCTGCTTGTCCTCCTCCAGCTTCAAGTGCCTCGTGCTGTATTTCTTGATGAGGGTCCCCGGTATCAACGCGACCATGGCCATGGCAAGCAGTTTGAGCAGCGTGTCCCAGGAGAAAATGGCATCCAAAGAGGTGATTTGGGAGAGAATGGCTCCCGTCTGCACGCAGATGAAATTGTAGGGTGTAAGACCTGAAAGAATCGGAGCAGAAAAAAGCCTGTTAGCATCCTCCCCACCACGTAAAATTAGGGGTCTGAGTTCCTGGTGGAAAGAACGAGGTGTGATTCCAAACTCCGCTGCGCTGCTGACACCCAGGTATGTGCAAAATGCCCTGAAACCCCTGGATACCAGGGCAGCAGGAAGGCAAACAGTTAAATGGGGCAGAGGACCCTGCCCCACGGCTCAGGGATGGGCAGAGGACACATCATGCTGCCCCCCCAGACAGGCTCCCCGGGCCTTACCGATGAGAACGGAGAAGAAGAACTGGGACACCGGGATGTTTAAAATGGGAGCCGAGAGATTCAGGAACCAGTTGGGTGTCATGGGGAACAGCCTCAGGAACAAGAGGAAGAAAAACAAACAGCTCCTGTTCTCTTCTACCTGCCGAGAGAAAACGTTCCCAATGATTTCTGCTCTTCAGACAGAGCCACCACCCGAAACGCCCACCATGCTGAAGGGAATTTGAGTTTTCTTCTAACGCGCCGCAACAAAAGTGGCAACTTTACGGAGCCTGATGGTGAGCAAGCAGTGAAAATGGGATCTAACCCGAATGAGAGATGGGGAGGCCACCAGCAGAACCACCTCCAGCTGCACAAGGCAGCCCAGGGTGAGTGGAGGCAGCTCAGGGACTTCCCAATTGATCCGTTCTCTTACTTTTCGTTTCCCTTGGGATTTGCAAACAGATTGTGTCAGAGGAGGCCCTTGGTCAAAAAACGAATAGGTGCGGGATGAGCTAAGTCAACCCAAAAGGCAGTTGCAAACAGATTGTGTCAGAGGAGGCCCTTAGTTCACCACGCACCTATTCGTTTTTTGACTAAGTCAACCCAAAAGGCACCTCATCCAGTTCTTACCTTCCTCTGGAGCAGGGCCACTTTGTCAGGAAAGTAGTAGACGACCAAGTGCTTCCCGAAGGCTGCAGATAGGAGGTAGCAGACGGTGGCTCCCACCGATGTCAGGACGGAGCAGAGCACCAGCCCGGTCCAGGGCCCGAAGAGCGCTCCGGCCAGGACGTTCTGCCGGGACACGGGGGTGACATCCCGGGAGGGGGACAAGGCCTGTCCCCTCCATCCCGCTGCCTTCACCCTCCACCCACCCGGGGGCACCGGGGTGTCCCCGGGCTCCCCACCCCGCACCCCCCGGAGCCCGGGCCCTACCAGGAGGCTGGAGCCGGGGATGGCGAAGCTCTGCTTGTAGAGGTAAGCGGCGCAGAAAAGGGCCAGCGCCGCTCCCCGGTGCTGCCTCTCGTAGTCCCGCAGGGCCTCGGCCAACTCCCGCAGCTCCTCCAGGTCCGAGGGGAACCGCAGCGGCCTGAGGGGAGGAGAAAGGGAAGCACCGGGGGCTTCACGCACACACCGCTCCCCTCCATCCCCCCCGCACCCACCTGCCCGCCTGCCCCGCGCTCAGCCGGGCCGACAGCAGCCAGAGGGCGACCGTGGCGGCCGCGAAGGCGAGCAGGAGCCCAGCCAGTCGCCGCCACATCCCGCGATGGGGCCCGGGAGGCGCAGGCGCTAAGGGGAGGGAAGGCGGGAGGGCGGCGCTGAGAGGAGGGCGGCCGGGAGGGAACCGCCTCCCCTCGGCCCCAGGGCGGGCCCGGCACCCCAAAAACCACACAACAATAAACGGTTTGGGTTGGTTTGTGGGGTTTTTAGTTAATTTACAGCCCCCTCTATAAATTCCCGCCCTCCCAGGAGTGGGTCTCTGCGGGCAGCGGCGGCGGCCGGGAGGGAACCGCCTCCCCTCTGCCTCAGGGCGGGCCCGGCGCCCCAAAAACCGCACAACGATTGCCGATTTGGGTTGGTTTGTGGGGTTTTTTGTTAATTTACAGCGCCCTGTATAAATTCCCGCCCTCCCAGGAGTGAATCTCTTGTGGGCGGTGCTGAGGGGAGGGCGGGCAGCAGCCGGGAGGGAACCGCCTCCCCGCGGGCCCCGCCGCCCCCAAAACCACACAACAATAAACGGTTTGGGTTGGTTTGTGGGTTTTTTTGTTACTTTACAGCCCCCTCTATAAATTCCCGCCCTCCCAGGAGTGGGTCTCTGCGGGCGGCGCTGAGGAACCTTCCTCCAGGTGAGTCCCTTGTGGAAATGTCGGCTGCCCTCGGGGGGAAGGATGGCTTCGTGTTTTAGTTCCTGCTCCAACAGGGGATGGGCTTGAAGGTTTGCTGGGTGTTCTCCGTCAGGATGAGGTCATATCTGCAGAGTGGTGGTCTGTGTAAAGACAACAAACCCGAGTCAAAAGGGGAAAACTGGCTTTTCTTGAAGAAGCCCCCAGGCTCGTGTGAAATAAATCATAGAATGGTTTGGGTTTGGAAGGGACCTTAAAGCCCGTTCAGTCCCAACCCCCTGCCCTGGGCAGGGACACCTCCCACCAGACCAGGTTGCTCCAAGCCCCCTCCAACCCGGCCTTGAACCCCTCCAGGGATGGGGCAGCCACAGCTTCTCTGGGCAACCTGGGCCAGGCTCTCACCACCCTCAGAGTGAAGAATTTATTCCTAATATCTCATCTCAATCTCCCCTCTTTCAGTGTCAAACCCTTCCCCCTCATCCTAGAAAGAGTCCCTCCCCCTAAGTCGTGTTCTTGAGACAACAGGCTTGAAGTCCACCTAAAAGGAGATGGACTTTGAGCCGTACCGAGGTCAGAGATACCTTGAGTGCGTTTTCGTTCTGTTCTACCTTATCTTTTGCTTCACCTCATGGAAAAAGGTAACAGCAAGCAAAGGGAGGGAGTGGCTGCAGAGTCCAGGGTTCCCTTTAAGCCAGCCTGTGCTGGCTGTGGTGACCAAAGGGGTGGTCTGTCCATCTCCCCTTGCCCACCTGCATGTTATTGCCGGTTCATGAGGGATTTTAGGGATTGTGCCACCACTCGGAGCGGAGACCATTCACCTGGGTTAGAGCTAACCCAGCCAAAAAACAGAGGAACCGCTTGGGCTTTCACCTGGGGCCACCTGAGCATCAGCCCTGCCACCAGGAAGGAGAGAGAGCGGGACATGCCTCCCTGGGGCACTGCCTGATTACTTGATGGAGTTAAAGGAGCCATGAAACTGCTCTGGCAGCTTGTGGCAGCCCCTCCTAGGGCAGCGTGCGCAGCCTCTGATGAAGTGTTGGGGCATCTGCATCTACTTTTAGAAAGACGAAATGTGGATCTGGGGCTGGAAGTGACTGGAGATGTAGGACAGGATGCGGGGTGTGTCAGTGAGGGGGGAGCTGTAGGGCTTTGATTATTACAATCTTAGAATAATAAGACAATAATAATAAGACAAAGGGTAGCAGACCTTCACGAACTGCAAAGAAACATGTTCTGTAGCTCTATATCCTTTTTTTTGCTCCACCCTTCTCACTCTGTGATGTGTACTCATCAAATTTAAAGCCCGTGTGGTTGATGTCCACATGCTGTCCTGGCACACGGGATCAATCTTAGAGATTCTGTACTCCCTGAGCAAAGGTGGAGATCCCCTTCTCCAGAGGTGCCCTAAAAACCAGGGAAGTTTAAGGGTAGGACCACAGAGTGGTCAACAAGGTGACTGAAGTGGGTAGTAGTCGGTGCTTTGGGGCACAGCAGCTCCCAGTTACAGGAATTCCAGGAGTAAATTAAATCTCCCTGTTTGACTGGGCATAGAAATTGACTGGGATATTGTCCTGGTTTGAGGTCTGTTTGGGGCTGGACACCCATATTTCCCCGAGAGCTGCATTTACTTTCAGTTCACGCTTGGGCAGCTTCTCTGTAGCTGCTCAAAGGTCATTTTCCCCACCAAAGGTTAAATGTCAGCCCACGTCAGATCAGACCACTAATTACATGTTTTCAGTACCCAAGATAGCCTCCGTGTTCAATTTCAGCTACGGGATTGGAGCGCATGCACTAAAGGCAGAATTTATTCCCAAGATACGTGTGCAGGAATTATTAAATATGAAATAAATACAATTCTTCTGGAGGAAAGCAGCCAGGAATCTAGGAGATCCGTTTACTTCTGTCCAGTTTGCAGCAACAGGAATGGTTTATAAACCTCTCCCTTACCTTTCTGGGTTTGTAAGTGACCGGAACCTCATTTGGAGAATCCTGAGTTTGAATTTGGGGCCAATGACAGATCCGGTGGAAAATGTCAAGGAAATTCTTTCTACGTTTTCAAAGTCCTGGTCGAATCCAATTAGCAAAGTGATTTGGTTGTACTGCTGAAAGGCTGCAGCTTCGCTAAAGATAAAGCAGACAAAGTGTCAGCGAGTCACCAAGGGAATAGCACCGCTTTTAATATATTCAGTATAATATTAGAAACAGAGCTGGGGGGGGAGGAGGACTGCACTTAGGATTAGTTTGTGACTGAAGGGAAATGGGTATGGATTCAGGTTTCCAGGTGTGCACCTGCTCAGCGGCTTTGGCACAGGGTAATTTGGGGTG